TCGTCTGACATTTCATCCTCTCGCAAAATATCCTGGTCCGTTCTTGGCTAAGATTACGGATTGGTACTCAGTATACCACGCATGGAAAGGCGACAGGCATCTCGAGTTCTACAGATGCCATGAGAAATATGGTAAGTAATTTCATTCGCACAAAGAGCTGAATGGTGCTGATTTTCAAGGTCCGGTATTTCGATATGGTCCTGATAGCCTTTCAATCAATTCCAACACGGCTTTGAAAACTATCTATGGCCACAAGTCAAATGTCAAGAAGTCTCAATTCTACTCGGTATTTCCTCCAACCAAAGATACTTTCAACACTCACAGCAGCATCGACAAAGCTAGTCATGCAAGAAAAAGAAGAGTTCTGTCCCATGCGTTTTCAGACAACGCCATTAAGACTATGGAGAAGTATATTTTAGCCAATGTCAGAACTTTCTGTACCAATCTGGGTCAACCAAAAGCATCAGCAGAAAAGTCAACTGGTGGATGGAGTGTTGCTCAGAACATGTCTGATTGGTGTAACTACCTGACGTTCGATGTTATGGGTGATCTTTGTTTTGGTAAAGCATTTGAGATGTTGGAAAATGCTTCAAATCGTCACGTGATTGATCTCATTGGAAACGCTGCTCACACTCACTTGATTGTAAGTACAAACTCAATGTCCCTAGGCACACTACTAACTTATTAGACTGGCACATATCCGATTATCAAGACCATTGGTTTGAGCAAGATTCTCTTCCGTAAGATCTATGCCCAAAGAATGAAGTATATGGCATACAGCAGAGCTCAAGCCGCCGAAAGAACCAAGATCGGACTTGATACTGACAGAAAAGATTTCTTCTACTACTTGCTCAATGCTCGCGATGCAGAGACAGGACAAGGATTCACAACACCAGAACTCTGGGGCGAGAGCAATTTACTCATCATTGCTGGATCTGATACCACGTCCACAGCTCTTTCTGCTGCTTTCTTCTATCTGGTTCATAATCCTGATAAATTGGAGATTCTTACAAAAGAAATTATGTCCACATTTTCTGATGTCGAAGAAATCCATTCAAGTCCCACGCTCAATAGTTGTGCATACCTCCGAGCAGTCGTTGATGAATCAATGCGTCTATCGCCACCCGTCGGTGGCATTCTTCCCCGTGAAGTTCTTCCCGGCGGCATCGATATTGATGGTCTCCACATTCCAGCCGGCTATGTAGTTGGAACTCCTCACTACACCATTCACCACAACCCGGCCTACTACCCATCTCCCTTTACCTTCATCCCCGAACGTTGGATTCCATCTTCTTCACCGCAGGTCACAAAAGATTCGGTAGCACTTGCTCAAAGCGCTTTCTGTCCTTTCAGCATCGGTCCTAGAGGATGTATTGGAAAGAGCGTAGCATATGTTGAGCTCATGACTAGTTTGGCTAGAGTGGTGTTTATGTATGAGATGAGGATGGCAGAGGGATATACCGTCGGAGAGGGAAGTGAAGATATGGAAGTCAGTAGACGGAGGAAAGAGGAATATCAGCTCAAAGATAGTTTTACTAGTATGAAGGATGGTCCTTATGTTGAATTTAGAGCTAGAGCTAAATGAGAGATGAACGGGCTCGGTGAATGGAGGATCAATCTTGCATTTTGTGGCGAAATACTGGCATTTGGGTCTTTACGCGAAGTGTTCTCTGTTTCAATTAGTTTTAGTTGCTTTGCTTAGATGCATAAAGAAACATTCAAATCATATGACATGTAAATCCGAGCCAGTGAGGTCAAGCCTCATGAAATGAGTGTTCGAGAGAAACCGAAGCCCGCAAATCAACAGTGAGCTGTTTGGGGTGAGTACATTATTTTCGTTGTCATTTCGAACGAAGTGGCATTTATTGGGGCACTAGCATATTCTATTCATTTACTTGAGGCCATAATATTCACATTCAGTAATGTGAGCGAAAATCAAGTTTGAGGTCTCTTTCATACGTTTGAGTGTTAGATCTTAAAGGTGCGAGAAAAGTCTTCTGTCTATAATCGTGAAAGAGGTGATGCATATTCTGGCTAATTTATTCTCAGGTTCGTGGGAGCTTAATCGTAATTCGAGTATGTCGTATCCAGCCGTACTGTAGTTGGTTGAATGGAGTTAATTGTGACAGTAGTTTGCTATATAATTATGGTGTTGGGGGAAGTTATTTGGTAGGGTATATTCTTCTTATACCTCCTAGATTCTATGATAGAAAAGAGAATGGAATTTAGTCGTCTTGGAGTAGATTCTGTAATGAGGTCAGGGTATTTAATAGAAGAAGGGTAGTTCCTATGATTAATTATGATATCTTTTCTAAATATTCGTTTTTTGGGGGAGGGAGGGACTCCAGCTATTGTAGGGTAGACCTCATACTTTTGATATAAATTCTATATAGAATCTATCATAGAATCTTAGCGGCATGAGAATAATTAAATGACTTTTTGAGGGTTATGAGAGTAATCTGCCGTATGTGGTAATAAAGAGCCAAGATTAAGAATTTCCTAGATGTGCTCTGAGCAGAAATATGTAAGATTACATGCTAATCGTATCTGTTTCCTGAAGCGATTGTCCTGAGCTCAACATGACCATGGTTTATTGCCAGGTTTTTGATGCTGGATTTTGAAGCCAATATGCATAGCATACGTTCTCAAACCCGTTGTAATTTGTGTGCCTAGGCGCGCAGGCTTCAAGGGAATGCTTCTGCCAATCTTCCTTTTGCCAGCATCGTAAGCAATAGCAACCTTCGCCCATACTTTTACATTTCGGCAGCGCTGAGGATTTATTGTCATTTTTCCAAAGCTCTGATGGATTTCCATCGTATATTCTAGCGGAATTAGTCTGCAATTCAAAGTAAAGACGGTGGCTATTGAGCATTCTTAACTCGGTTGTAGCCATTCAGCCTTTTTAATCATGAAGACTTGCTGAAGGAAATCATAAGGGAAAAGCGAAGAACGTTGCTGACTTGGATGAATTGGAAATAATTTTCTCCATTTAGAAGTGGAAGTATCTCCTTATACCTGTTGCAAATAATCAGCCTGAAAATATCTTTGAACAGGTATTGACTTACATTTTCGGACAAACCAGCAGATGACCAGGAAGTTCCACATTTCCCCAATGGTCTTTCACCCCTTTACCCTTCTTGATCCCCTGGCAGGCTGGTCCGATACATTTTCCGTTTACACCTTTGCATCTAAAAATCTCGAATCTCCTGTATGCATTCAACCAAATAAAATGAATTAAATATCCACCCACAATCTCTTTCCAAATTATATCTCGCAATTCTCTCGGCATCGAGCACAACAAGCTATCATTCTGCAGACTTACTTCCCCTTCCCAAACAATTCCATCTTGCCTATCTCGCCCTTGTAACTCATCAGGAATGCCTTTTGTTGCCCTCCTGCTTTCCATATCTTTCTCCCATTCTCTACCCACAATCGCCAGTATTTCATCGCGTATTCTTTCCTCCTCACGAAGTCGAATCTTCTCTTTACTTTTATGGTGATAGTGCACCGGGCTGAGATCAGTCGTTTTTATAAATTCATAGCAGTTGAGACTGATGATCACAATTGCCAGAGGAGGGCCGCATAGGGCATAACAAATAGGCATTATGACATATTTTTCAATCGATTTGGGAAGGCCCGCCTGACTTCTGCGCCCACGATTGGCCATATCAGAGACAGTTTCGAAGCACTTTGAGAAAAAGAAATCGCAATAATAATTAACAAAAGTTGGAGAAAGAAGGGGAGGTAGGCGTGACTGAAAATGATCCGTAAGTAACCTCGAACGCTTGATTCTGGGACTCGAGCTTCTAACAGTTGTGGTTATCTCGTGATGAGGCTGGGTTAGATTGTAATCCTCGGGCTGGTAGAATGATTACACAGCCACCATGTACTCTTAGAATCAATCTCGAATGTTTTCTGACAACATCTCATTTCATCTTGTTAAGTTTCAAGATAAAGACGAACCAGTGCAATTTTGGTAATGTCCCGCTTTCCGTCTGCCCAAATCCCTTTTCGCTGTGCTAATACACATGCGGGGTAGATCTTCGAGTTCCGATGCCTCACATACCAAAGCAACGCCAGGTACAAGAACCAGTTTTTGGGATGTATGGACCCTACTGTTATATGCATACAGCCTCTTTGTTCCTTTCTGGTAAGGATTTTGAAGCCTCTAACATTGATGATGAGTTTACGTGTGAATTTGGCGGATCAGAACAAGTGTTCTTTATCGAATGTTTGATTGGGTAGTGGGTCAAATTGAGAGTTATGGATACCACCGCAAATTCAAGATGCATAAGAAGTTCAAGGCTGCAATGAAGGAATGTGTATGCTTGCATGTCTTGTTGGTTGGCGGCGTCGAAAAAAAGTTGGACCCAAGTCGCAGATAAATACAATAACCTGCTAATTTTGTAGTACTAGTGAAGAAGTATTTGGCTCAGCCCGTCTCAAACGTTTGTATAACCTTTCTTTCTAGATCCCGCATGTTGGTAGGATTTCGTGAAACTTTTGCGACCATCACATTTACTGTGAAGGTTTGAAACGGTGACACTTGTTGAGGAGCAAGACTGAATGCCCCAAAATAACTCATGACATGGTGTTGCGAGGGAGGTATCTACTGGTTGATGTATGTTAACTCCCAACTCTCAGTTGAGATTGAGGAGCATCGAGGTGAGCGGAGCTTGGGAAAAGAGTTTCAAAATGGATTAAAGAAAGTATTCATCGAAGACAGTGAAGTTTACAAGTAGTAATGAGGGATCAGTGCGGGGAAAACTCGGTGAAGGCATACGATTATGTTCTAGGATATGTTGAATCCACCAGTTGGATCTTTAAACATATGTTACACTTCATTTTTGTCCACAGCCTCTTGAAGATGGGACTTCTGGCAAGAATTTAGCATAAAAGGCGCTCGTATTTTTTTGAAGCATCATATGCTATCCAACATTACAAGCCAGCCATTTCATCGTTCTGATTCTGTGATTATCTGCTGAGTTCTATCTATCAACATGACCAAGCTCAAAAATTTACAGTCAGGTTTTCTGCTTTCTAGTCTTATAGTTCAGGCTTCGGCAGGCATATACTACGACTCAGCATCATGTAACAGTAATTGACCCGCTTTCCTCGAATCTTCGCTTTATGTCCAGGTCAACTGACAAGCAGCAGAATACCTACCACTCTTAGATCAAGGCGCCCTTGCTGCTTTCGAAATGGGCCATCTCGCTCAAATTGCTATTGGAGCTCCTGTACAGAATGATCCTAACGGCAATGTATGGGGCTTTCCTGATACTGAGAGCAGGGACTTGACGGGGAAAATCTTTGGATCGCCTGCGGAAAATTTCAGGACTTTCCTATCAATTATCAATATGTAAAAAGTAAGTGATGCACAACATTTCTCCTGATTCCCTATGTATATGCATCCACCAGGAGGTATATAAATTCGCAGAATTTCTCTCAACTTTCAAAATTCGTGACAAATTCAATTTCCAACTGTTTCCCATAAAAACAGATTCCTGAACTTTTGAATCTTTAATAAATTATTGAAATGATTCTCGATATGTCTAAGTCAAAACATCAGAAGATATTGTCACGTCAATGTTTATGGGGTCCTACCAGTCCATGCACCCACTGGTGACCTATGCTGACAGAAGTACTTTGGACGGATTTTACTACATAATGGCCAACTTTGCTGTTCCAAATTCAAATGGGAATGGATATCAGACAGCTTTTCCAGCCGATCCTATTGCTCTTGTCAATTCGGTTTTTGAGCCTTCTACTACCAATGGCCCTAATGCAAATCTCTTGACGGCAGCCGACATGGTAAAGTTCTAACTCATCCTCAGTTACATATAAATAAATCAAAAGTTAATCAAACCAATTTACAGGTAATGTACTGTGATTTGACACGCTACCGGAAAACCAGCATCGGTACTGGTGATAATGAAGTTGATTTATATGAAAGTTCATTCATTAGCGGTGACACGATGTCAACGGATGACTTTGAAAAATGCTCTAAAGAGCATCTTATAAAGTAGAAAAGCTGATTCAGATGCCGCAATGATCGATCGACTGCATATTAAGAAACCAGGGGAGGGCGTTGGGTATAGCATAGTCCAATTTTGTCCCGCGTACATTGATGTGGTAAGATCTTCTTGGTACAAAGTTTAAGGGCATGACTGGAACTTCTCTCGAATATGAAAGTGCGTTGAGTCATAAGACGCATTTTGATCTGCCGAAATTTTGGAGTATAACCTATTTGGTTTCAAAGATTGGGAAAAAATGGTACGAAAGAAAAGAGCCAGTAATTGATAAAATATCATTGTTCTGCCATACTTACAATTCTTGATTCAAGAATGCGGGTAGTTGAAACTCTCAAAAACTATGAGTTCTTAACTTGCTGACCAATGAATGCTAGGTTCATGGGCTACATTCGGTCTTGGAGCTCAGAAACTCTCTCAAGGAAATTGATTTAATAGAGATGGAACTATCACATACTTTCAACCCGCAATCCAGTACAATGCAAACAACCCGAATAATATACTAGTGGATCTCAATTGGACATCTCTTAAGAGACTACGCGCTCGAACATCCGATTCAACCAATCTCGCATCTTCAAGAAAGGTCCCCAAGAGAAAGCTCATACGACAAGTGACAGGTTTTTCTCAGACTGTTCCCCTCATAAACTCCCCAACGGCAAATTTTACTACAAATAGCAGTATGGTTCCAATTTCGGTGTCACTGGTAAAAGCATCTCAAGGCATGAGCATCCAGGTCCCATTAGATATAAATGCCAAAACTAACACTAGTTCGAATCCTTCTGTAACATTATCGCAAATCTAGAGAAACATGTCAATCTTTTCTTCCGGTCTAAGTACTGGCTATATCCCATCTTTCAGGATGTCTTCTGTATGGTTTTCGAATGCAACGACCTCTAAAGAGACTAAAATACGACTCACTTCATCGTTTGTGAATCCTCCTAGTGTTACACAATCAATTTTTCATATCATACTGTTTCACTTTCTTCTGGTGTCCCGAAATCATCAGCATCTCCGTTGCCTCTAATACCCCTCTCGGCATTGAATTCTTCGCTAAACATATATCTCAACACCTAGTTTGCCAACTAATCCTATCTCAAGTCATAGTTCCTCTACAATGCTTTTCATGAGCGATTTAACTCTATCAACAGGAGGTCATTTCAGCAATTTTTCTTTCACTACTACTCAGCCTGGTGGTTTTATCACCATCATTAGAACCAGTACCCTTGTTGTCTCCACTCCCGATCCCTCATTGCTTTTCTTGTGTACAGCTACGGATGAGATCAGCAGAACATCGTGTTCGGTCTCGATTACTCTTAAACCGACTGCGACATTTACTGTATGTACAGCTTTAATTGCTATCAATTCTTGCAAAGTATCAACTTCACCTTGGGTAGCACAGTATTAATAATAATTATTGCAGTTTCCAATATTCAAAGGTGGACACACTCCGAGTTCTTCGGAGAACATTGCTAGTATCTTTACAGCTTCCACAATTCACATTCTAAGTATCACTAAGTTGCGCGCTTTCCCGACCATAATGATCAAAAATCCTGATTAAAATTGTGATGACGATATCGAGATACCATTTGTTAAGGTCACTATTCTAGAAGGTCCTTGTGAACCTCTTCCAAAAGTTCAGCACGGTGGTCTTTTCGGTGCCGCCTTCAATCTGGCAAGTAGCCTTGTGGACGGAGTTCTTGATGACGCTTGTCACCTTGTTTTTCCTATCGTGAGAGACATAGAATTGTCCCTTCCTGGTTGGTTAACATTGGATATCTATCCGCCTCAAGAGTCCCTAATGCTTCTGTGATAATTGAGTAAACTTCCATTTCCAAAACACCAGAAGAAACTATGTCGTGGGTACCCTCTGTATATATTAGCACAAGTCAAGTCAGTGTATCCAGGAGTAGTAATATTGGTCAGCCATCTAGTTCAATCGCGTCATCACCACGAACCACTTTTTTTGCCGCACCTGCTCGCTCTTCGAAAATTGCTGTTCCATCAAGTTATGTTGCATCCACAACTACTCCAGCTATCGAAGCCACTACTCCGAACAATATGTTTCAAGTGAATTTCTGGCATGAAATCGACAATAAAAAGAAGTCAAGCGGAAATCTGTGGTACATGCAAATCGAAAAATTGGTAGATATCAATTTAAGTCATGTGGACTTATGTCAAACCAGTGGACTTTTTCTGTTCAGGACCAAAATATCACAAGTCATGATCCTCTTTCAGATCCCATCCCATATCCTGAAGGAAGTTTCGCTTTTCCCCCTAAAGCCGCTGGAGCTGGTTGCTACTATAAGGGGGGTCGATCGGCTGTGGATGATGTATTCTGTCCAGACAAGCCGACCGTTTCCTGTCAAGGAAATGTGGGTGAAGCACCAATCGTCTGTGATGGCAATACTAGTATTTGCCCTATGGTTCTTTGCGGCTTAGAAGGCTAGTTCGAACTTCTTCATTTTGCTTCATGATTCTCGGGAGACTAATTCCACTGTCAATTTTCGATTCTTTTTGGAGCATAATTTTTCCTAAGCGCTTTTCTTTTTTTCCTTATCTTGTTCAAGTCCAAGCTTGCTTTTCTCATTTGGGTTTCATTTCAGTATGAAGATTTTGCTATTGGAATCTTATGTGTGTTTGATTTTCTTTCTCGAAGTTACACTGGTCGAAAGTCATTACGATTGGAACGAATTTTATGTGGCCCGACTTCGTGTGTGGCATTACTTGTTTTTTAGACTGAGGTTTCTTTGTTTTTTCAATATACTTATACTTAAGCAAGACGACAATGCCGCAAAACATTTTTGAAATGATGATTCTCTGAAAATATTATTGCTTTCTAGACTTTAGTTACTAATTCATTTTCAACCGGGTTTCCGGATAAAAATGCGATGTATGTACGTGCCGTCACTGACTCCATAGCGGGGTAGGGGCATAAGCTACGCCTCGCTTATGTATTGTTTTTGCCGACTATATCTGTGAGACGAGTAGTAACAAATTACGAACATACTACAATGGCAGTTGTAGACAAAGTCTGACCAGGAGCAAGAATTAATACTTTTCATAATCAGTAATTAATCTAAATTATAGTAGTTTTGCATACTCGTAGATTGTGTGTATATATTCGAGAAGTGATGAGTTAGATCACGGAAATCATTGATGTGATTTGATGACTATGGCAAGCCAAACTTGAGACTATAAAGGAGAAGGGGGTATGACGCAGTTTCCCAGAATATCAAGATTTTGTCGATACTTAAAAAAAAAGAATGGTTGCTTCGAGGTTTTTCGTGGCCTGTATATACGAATCCATTTTTAATCGTGTGGATGAATATCGGTGAATACCAGAAGAAATCATTACATCGATTAGGTATGATATATTACATTTAAGGACCACATGGAGGAATGGGGATGAATAAGGAACTGTCGAAGGTAGATGAAATGCACAACTGTCAGAAGGAACCTTGGAAGTTATGGTAGCTAAATTTGTCGAGTTGACGTTCAGATAAATGAATAATCCCTGTGTATTGCCAATTTAGGTGGTGTTGCATAATTTCCTAAGGATAGGTATAGATTGATTATCCTTTGAGGCTTTCATCGCACTAGACTTGATTTCTAGCATTCGCTAATGGCCATTGCCAGCCCACTTCTTTGTAGCAACGATGTGTAAAGCTCGCTTATGAAGTGAAAAACGAGAAAGTGGGGCATTTGTATTATATGAAGTTTTACATCTGCTTGCTGAGAAAATTATAACGCTTTGAGAAGATAATATTCTATCAAATGTAGGTCAGTTCAAAGTCAGGTCGAAAGTAAGCCGGGAAGAAGGAATGTGAAGGATTCACCTGTGCATCTGAGCCGAGGTAAAATTATAGCCCGGCTACAAGAGTGAAAGGTTTAGCTAGGCTGTATTGAATGAGTTCTAGTTTTCATGCAAAAGAGAATGTGTCAAATTGAAAGACAACTGGGCTTTCCGAATCACCAACAAGAAATATAAGATGTGATTTTCTCTTAGACGCATTGAATAATCGTCCCCATTTTTTCCCCATTTCAAAATAAAAATACAAATCAAAGGAACCATGAGTAAAGTCTTTAGAAGTTATTATCTCTGGTTCTAGCAGTCTAGATAGTTCTCATTTGGGTTGTAAGTCATGCATATGCCTCCAAAACATCCCTCATGCAAGTTCGGTACCTCCGAACCTAGGGGGAAACCGAGAGCTAGGTATTGTTCTGATTTTAGTCAGCGTAGTGAACATCATAGGCATTAAGCTAGAATCCATCGTAAAGTTAAATGCTACCACTGCTTCACACAAATTACGTGTTTGTTGTGTTTGTCGCGAGGCAGGTGGATTGTAGAATATTTTAACGTTTCAGAGGCGCTCTTGAGCGAATGTTGTGTGCAGTAGACAATATTTTTCATCTGAAACAATGTTTGTGGCGGGAACCATTTTAGGAGAGACCCACTCTTTTCTTAATCGATCCCATCGTGGCTGAAGTGATTTATAAAGCGTGAGAATTATTTTGATTTACTTCACGATCCGCTGCTGCTTACATCAAAAACCCCGTAGCGCCCGTCACGAGCAATAATGCCCATCCACCAAGAAACAATCTATTCCCGGCTCCAGGAACATCATCAACCTCCTTGCTTCCATTAGTAACATTCTCCGCCCTCAGACAACTCAATCCAGCATGTGTGAACCTCGCCCCTCCATCGATATTAGCGCTCGGACTTTGAATTAGCATCATTGGCCATATTCTCGTAACCGCTTCCTCATAGAAGGTCAAGTTGGTCGAATCATGGGGATCGCTGGATTCATACATCCATGCTGAACCATCAGTTTGATTTGATGTAATGTCTGTATAAATTTATTAGCATTCATTGATGGTCTGAGGATGGGGGTGAGACATACTTTGAGCAATAGATCCAAGAAGTATCGATCCTGCACATTGGCTTGGTATGTCATTGAACGACATACCCCCACAAACACCTGTAGAATTTCTTGAGGTAGCCTTTGCTCTCGCATCTTGAATCGCAACAGTAAAGTTACTTATGCAATCGTCGGAATACAAGGCTGTGCAGTCTCCGGTATCATCTTGACCTTTCACCGTCACGTTCCTGGGCACATTTGTGAAGAGAACTACGCAAGTCTCCCATGAGGAATTGGCGGGGAAATCATTGTCTGAGGCGCTGAGTGATATCACCGTGTTCGTCACTGTTTGATTGCCGGTCCACGGGACTTCGGTGACGTTAATTTGTGTATCCCACTTAACAAATGATAGGAACATGGGGGTATCGGATGTATTGGCACCGACTAAATGGCCACTGCCAGTAGCGTTGGGCTGTTGATTGTACTGTTCGAAGTAGGAGCCATTCTGTGAGGGGCCCGACCCAGTGCCGCTGCTGGCTGTAGAATCGGATTGAGCAGAGGTTAAAGGCACAAGTAGTGCTGTTATTAATGGTAGATATGAATACATCTTGAATAATGCTGCTGGTGAGATATAAACATTTTCAAACAACTTTATATTTGTTATAGATTGAGAGCGATCTCCATCTCCATGTCATACCAAGTTTAAAGCGTCATCTCGAAATGACGTTATTCAAACAACAAGTCAAATGAGGCTCAGTACAGCCAAGACGGCTATCTAATCCGTAGGATTTGCTGACTGAATTGCGATCAAGTCAGAGTAAGCTTCGACTACTTGAAGTGAAAGTTGCTTGGATCAATATCCTCATGTACCTGAAATATGCAACCCCTACGTGGCTAAACCTCATGCTCATCTAACCGATTTCCCCACTATGTACACGTCCCTACTACATGCACGACTTTGAAAATATCAATATTATAGTTTCAAACATCAATGATATATCTTTAGAAACTTGTATAAAGCTTGTATTAGATTATTTAAAAAAGGTTCAAGCTTTTAAATACATTTAAATAACTAATTTCTTTAAAATTGATTGATCCACACTTTCTTAACAATATAGAAATAAAACCACCTCGAGAAAACAATTCCTCTCCGATACAAAACAAATGCTTTTTAGTAATTAGGAAAAGGTTTTAGTTAATTAAATCAATAAGTTAACACAAAGATTTATTCCTTTTATAAACTATATAATCAGAAATCTTACAAAAGAGATTCTAGGTAAAGAGGTGGGAAAAAAACTGGATTAGTAATTTTATCAAAAAACATTCAATATATCTTAAAAGTCAATATCTTCATTATATTAATAATTTATATATGAAAACCAATAATATTATTATATTTGATTACTTTTATAATTTGGTTTGAACTATTTTCTATTATTATTGATCTTTATTACCTAAAACTGTTATATGGATATATATATAGTAGTAAGCTATCAGGAAACAATCCCTGATACTGTGCCTTTTGGACAGATTGCGTGTGTGGCGTAGTGGTAAAGCTTACAACTCCTATTGTGTCCGCTTACGTAACAAAAACGCTCTTGCTAATGCCCCTCTTTTTTTAATTTAGTTAATAAAAGTAACCATAAAATATAATATACGACCAAAAGATATAACGTGGTTTATCAGTGCGTGGCCCATATCAGTGGGTGGCCCACTTTCACCTCAATTCGACTCCCTCATTTCAATACACGTTTTATCAACAACCTATAATGAATTCGAATAATAAAGAAGTCTGTATATTACTCACTATCATAGCTATTCAAAAAGATAAAAAGCTAAGTATTCGAAAGGCTGTAATACTATATAATATCCTACAATCAACACTACAACATAGAATTAACAGTATACCTCTTTATATAGAAATTCAATCTAAATCTCAAAATCTCTTGAAACTAGAAGAGGAAATTATTATTCAGTATATAATTGATATGAATTCGAGAGGTTTTGTATTTAAACAAAAGGGAGTAGAAGATATAGCGAATCATATTCTTGAATCTCGAGATACAAAAAGAATTGAAAAGCTCTGAGCTCATTGATTTATCAAATATTATATAAAGCTAAAAACACATTTTAAATATGTTTATAATTTTCAAAAAGCTCTCTATAAAGATTCTATATTTATTGAAAACTAGTTCCGATTTATATCAAATATGTAAGCAAAATATAATATTCTCGATTATGATTTATAGAATTTCAATGAAACAAGCTTTATGATAAGAATAATAAATACTAGTATAATTGTTATTGATGCTAAGAGATGTAGCAAAAGTAAAGTTATACAGCCAGACAATCGAGAATGGGCTATAGCGATTATATGCGGCAATAGTGAGGGAGATACTATATCTCCATTTCTGATAATTCAAGAACAGGTGCATCTTTCTAATTGGTATACAGAAATTGATTTTCCTACAGATTGGGCTATTAAACTTATAAGTAATAAGTAAACGAATAATGAGATAGGATTAGAATGATTGAAATACTTCGATAAATATACAAAAAATCGAATTAAGGGCAAATACAGAATGCTAGTGCTGGATAGGCATGAAAGTTATAAATCAATACCATTCTAGAACTATTGTAAGGAGAATAATATTAAATGTATGTGTTTATTACCGCATTCAAGTCATTTAATCTAGCCTCTTGATATTGGATACTTTAGTACCTTAAAACAAAAGTATGGTATACAAATTGAGAGGTTTATAAAAGCACATATCAATCATATCTCAAAGATCGAATTCTTTATAGCTTTCAAAGTTATATATCAATGATTAATTATAAATCAGAATATAAAATCAGGGTTTCAAGGAGCAGAATTAGTCCTATTCGATCCTGAAATAGTGCTTTCTAAGTTAGATATTCGAATCTATACATTTATTCCTTCTTCTCCCAATTCAAAATCTTGGATCTCTCAAATACCTCACAATCCTACAGAAGCACTCTTTTAATCAATATTAGTTAAATCTCGAATAACTTATCATCAATCGAGCTCTCCTATACCTTTATTTGAGACTATACTAACTTTAGCTAAAGGTACAGAGAGATTAGCATATGAGAATACACTTTTAAGTGTAAAGATTCATATACTTCGAAAAGCAAATGAAATATTAAATAAACATTGATACATAAAAAAAACCCAATTATATCAAGGAAAAATACTTACTGAACAGGAAACTACAGATATATTATCTCAACAAAAGATTAATATCCAAATTCAACACAACAAACATCAAAATAAAGGAAATTCCAATATAGAAGTATCCTCTAGTCAATACTATAACAAGTGTGGAAAGACAGATCATAATATAAGAACCTATAAAAATAATATAATAGATCCTAGATTATTAGATTTATAATAACTTTAATCAATTGATTCAAAGATTATTAAGAAATATGAATTTGAAAATGTAAATTAAGGTGAAAGTGAGCCATCCACTGATATGGGCCACGCACTGATAAACCACGTTATACAATTAGAATAAAAAGGGCTTTATGATCAGTATAAGAAGGATTATAAAGAGGATAATGAGTATTAGTGCCTATAATAAAAACAAAGTAACAAAAGCTAAACAAAATAAATCAAAAGAGTTTATTATTCTATTAACAGCTATATATACTGATGGGACAGTTCTCTTTCTCGCTTTTATTTATAAAGGAGATTCAAGGAATCTATAAGATATATAGGTTCAGGATATGGGGGAAAAGGATAAAGTCTATTTTGGAGCTTCAAGTAATGGGTAGTTATTGAATACTTTTGGTTTATATTAGCTTATAAACGTATTCGATCCTATTATATATCAAAAAGCAGGTGGAAGATATTGTCTATTTATTGTCAATAGTTATTCTAGTTATATCAATATAGAATTCCTTTCAAAATATAATAAATTAAAGATTATTGTTTTAATTCTTTTTCCTTATTTTATATATCGACTACAGTCTCTTGATGTTGAAACCTTCGATATTCTTTCAATGAATTACAGTACATTATTGAATAATTTGATATAAAATAGTAAGAGGATTGTTGGTATAATAAAATATATGTTTTGGGATACATTTAAAAAGGCTTGGGAGCTTATTTATATGAAGTATAATATTTTACAATCCTTCGAAAAAACGGGTATATATCCTATAAATAGGAGTCTTACAATCGACTATATTACTTCGAAAGCTTCTTCTACACCACTTACATCATTTAAAACTCGCAGGGATGCTCTTACTATACTGTATATATCAAAAGCAATACATAGAATGAAATTAGAATTTCGTTGCACTCCCACCCATAAGATTATTTTAAAGCTTTTTAAAACTACAATTACATTAAAAGCTGAAACTTCTATACAAAAATATAGATCTAAAGGTTTAGAAGAGGCTCTAAAGCTTGAAAAAAGGAAAAGAGTTTGTTTAAAGTATTTAAATCTTATTAAAGAGAAGAGGAATAGTACATTTTTATAATCACCTTTTGTCACGGGGTGACACTAAGCCCTTTCTGTCCTGTCCTGTCCTGCTATATATGTGAGAGTAAGGTAGAACTTCCAGTTCTACCTCCTAGTCTTTTGGGCGTTTAGCTCAGCGGTAAAGCTTCTGAATACTCCCAGAGGTGATCCCGTGACACTTTTGCTATTATTAAAACTAGAGTGTATCAAAAAGATAAAACATTTAAAAAGGAACAAGAGAAGAAAGCTAAGCTTCAAATAAAAGCTGAAAAGAAAGCTAAAAAGAAATAGAAAGAGATTGAAACAAAAAAGAGAATATTACAAAAGAAAATTGATCATTAGATTGTATGTGATACAAAAGAGGAGGTTAAAAAGACTCTAAAATCAACAAAATCTCCAATCAAAAGAGATAAAAAGTTCCCCAAAGCTTCTTCTACTATAGATCTAACATCGACAAAGACTATAGAGCTCTCTGATGCTGTAGAGGCTAATAATTCGAAGGGGAAAGAGGAGAAGGTCATATTGCGATCTAGTAGAGGGCGAGCACTACGAGTTCCATCGAAATTCAAAATCTGAAGATTTTATTATGTTTTTAGATAGTATTATATCTTGTCATTTATCAATTAAATTGCTAGCTCTTTATCTTATAAATTGGAATTCTTATTAATTTTTAAAGTTATTCAAAATGGGTGATCGAGATCGTGCATATAGCAGGGACGTGCACGTAGTAGGCAAATCGGTTAATGATCGGCACTCGTATTCTTGAATCTAACCCGAGATCCTACTGCATCGGGATTCGCCAAGCTTATCTTGACGTGAAATTGAATCATGCGGAGCGGCTCTCTACTGTACTGTAGTACCAATAACAGGGATCCTCTTACCGCGCACGTTCACGACAATGGTCATCACGCTTATACACGTGACTGAGGCTTGTGCACCGATAATCAAATCAATACAACAACCTGAGCTCCTGGGGTACCTCGCTGTATTCCAGCATTTGATAAAGAAAGAATGGGCAAAGCTAGGTACTAATAGTCAAAGCTGTATTAATGCTGATACTTATCAAAGGGAGAACACGCTTGGAGAAGATAAGTGCTCAAAGATCACAAAATATCGTATCTGCACGTGATCAGATGAGAGAATAATTGAATGGTCGATGGTCTATGCGTCTTCCCGGAACTTTTGATTCGCCGGTCCCGATGTTATGCTTTTCACTGCCTCCCGACAAATGCGACGAACCAAGCTTCATCAGCGGTATTTTGGGTGTTTCTGGTCGGATTGCATTACACTCGATGCAGCCACCGTG